AAGGACTTGTGTCGCTAAAGTTTCGTCGGAACGAAGTTACGGAAAATTAACTAACGAATAGAGACGTAACAATATAATTGGCCTAATACTAATGTCTTACGATAAGTATAATTAAAGAATACGGTGTTTTAAAATATAATAATTCTAATATTATTATCTTATGACAAATATAAAAAAAAAAACTCTTTACTGAAGCTTTCAGTTAACCACAGAACTAACAAATTAGGCAAAGGTAAATTTCATTTTATGCCTAATAAAGGTGTAAAGGCAAACGTTAATAAATAAATAAATTTTTAGGGGAAAATTCCTAAATAGAAGCACAACGACTGGTGTCAAAATAGAACATTTCCGAAGAGTCCAGTGGTCTAATCTCTTAGGAAATGTTGGGGAACGCACGTGGCTTATTCGCATATGTTTGTATGATCTTGGTTCATTGATGATCGTTGCCATACGGTAAATAACTTTAATAAGAAGAAAATGACACTGCTGTTTTCTGTTATAACATAAAGATAGTTATGAAATCAAATGGTTGTTCGTATTATATTTTTTAGTGTGTGGTAAAAAACAGTTGGGTCCCAAAAGTGACAATAAACTAAATTTTAATTTGTTTAAATAACTTATTTAAATTTAAATTAGAGAGAATAGCAGAGAAGGTATATATATATAATTATAATAAAGAAAACGGTAATCAACATGCTAACGCGATAAATGCTAATAATGAGTAATATTCCTAAAGCCTTGCCTGAGTTTATGTGTTATATATATATATGTTGCCTTTTTTCAGCTTCAGAAAATATGTCTGCACATGTATTGCTTGGTTTAAGTGACGAAAAAATTGTTGATGATGACGGAGACCATTGTTCATGGCAAACAAATAAGTATGGTGGTAAACCGGTGAGTAATTTAAGCAATGGATTTTAAATTATAATCTTTTCAGTGTTAAATTATCTATATGTTTGAGGAAAAATATGCATTAGGAGACTAATTTTATGGAAATCTGTAAGGTTAAGTTGAGAAAGATTGAATGGCTGATCTAAATGCAAAAAATGTTTGGAAAAAATTGGGAAATTCTAGTAGTTTGATAAAACTGGAAGCTTATTCCGTAATTGATAAGTATGGTTTGAATTATAATAGTAATATTATTAAATAACATTTCAGGAACACCTAGGGGGCCCTTGGACCATAATGGTCATAACATTTATTTCATCAAACACCTATTTGCTTGTATCCAAAAATGACTCCACAAGTACTCATCAAACCATTACTTCAGTTTTCTCAATCCTGTTGCATGTAATGTATGAAGGCAATCTATTTCAGAGGCTGACTACCCTGTTTAAAAAACTGTTTAACTTGCAGACATCTTCAACCTTGCCAAATCTTAAATGTGTGTTCTCTAGTCCTACCATTTGTACCATTAAACATGAAAAAAAGATGATATATCAGTCATGTGTATTCTCTTCATAATTTTGTACATTTCAATCAGATCTTCTTTTCTCAAAAGATAATCATTTTAAAGACTAATGTTCTCATATAACAGCCCTTCTGTCCCAGGAATCATCCTAGTACTAGTAGACTTCATTTGAACTCTTTCTAACAACCCAATGTCCTTCTTTAAGTTCTTACAATAGTGAGCCCAAGACTGAACACAATGCTCTAAATGAGGCCTAACTTCTGTACAAATAAATTATAACTTATGTGACTTGTATTAAATACTTCTGTAGTTACAACTCAAAATCTTTTTTTTTTTGCTTTCTCACTAGCAACAACATATTCACTGAAAGGCATAGTATACTGTTTGAGTTGATTTCCATCAAGATAGCAATTATAGTTTAAATTAAGGTAGCGACATGTACTATCTTGCATTTGACGTAATTGAGTTAGTAAATAATAAACATAAGCTAACTTGAATATTTAACTTACTGTATGGTGGATGCTGAGGTTAATGGAAATAAACAAAAGAGATCATGAAGCTTAGAGCAATTTATTCATGTGTTTTTATGCAAACTGCAAAAACTAAAATGAAATATTATAATATTAGATTTTTTAAGATATTAAAACAGGAACCATGTTGTTGTTGGAGAAAGTGCAGCAAGGCTATAGTTGATGTTTACGACTCATAACATAAGTAAATAAATGTGTAGAATTATGCACAGACTTTTCTCTATGTTAAAATACTTTTATTTGTGAGCTTTCAGCTGGAGAGAATGATATTTGTTATCTCAGAAAGACCTGGGTCTTGACAGTTTTAATGAATGAGACGGATTGTGGAAAACAAATTTTTACTATGAGAAATATCAAAATGCACATTATGAGACAGACTGGTTGAACAGATGTGCAACTGGTTCATAAAAGCCCAAAACATGATTTATCAAATAGAATTTTTAATAGCTACCTAGGCAACTAATATGTTTCTATTCCAATATCTTTCTCTTGTTAATTTAATCAAATATTATATCATAAAATAGAGGATTTTGAGGAAGCCAAAATATCTCAAAATCTTGTACCTTTGCATACAGCTACATTTACATTTCATGATTTCAGCAAAATAACAAAACTACTCAACTTGAAAACACACCACCAATGTTGAGGAGGTCCTTATTATTGTCTTTTTCTTTCTTTCTAGAAAATAATTATCTTTTATAAAAAACAATTCTTCAAATCACAATACAAATATAGGTTCATTGTGGTGAATAAGACAGCTAAAAACAATTAATGTTTTTGTACACGTTTCTTTTGAGTAATCAGTTCATATTTTGTCATATATTAATTCTTTAATATTATACATTTCAATTTATCAAAGAAAAAGAAAAATTTAAAAAGTAATAATTTATTTAGATAATTTTATCATACTGCATTCAAACAGAATATTACAGAGCACATGGGAAAACTTGGAAGAAACAATGATAATTAGATATAACACACACATAGCCAGTAGTTTTCGTAAAAATGTAAACTATGTAAAGTATAATTTAAAAATTCTGAGTGAGGCTATGTAACTTGCATATCAGTAAATTTTTGGTTGAAAGGTAAAAAATTGTGCATTATTGTTCTCAAAATCAAATTAAAATCTAAAATCAGTTTTAAAGGGTCTAAGTCTTCATTGTCCAGAAGCTCAACCAGTCTCAGTACACCCCTGTTAGAATGTATAGATTTAGAAAGCATTTCTTGTGTGAGAGATTCACCAGTGACAGGATGAAATAAAATGATGTAGATTTGGTTATTGGATACTACATGAAACCTTTGACTATAATATATAAAAAAGATAATTTTTGGATCTGATTATTAAAAAAATTTTTTGAATGTAAGATAAAGAACATTATTGAAACATTCTGTAAATTTGTTGAGATTGTGTTCAGAGTATTGTGCATAGTTTCGTAACCTTTATTGCAGGAAGAATATTGATTTATAGAAAGAATGCAGAGATAGATCATTAGATTAATACCCAATGATAAAAGTTAAAGGTTTTTTAAAAAAATGTAAAATCTTCAATTTGTTTTCTCAATTATGTCATCAGGAACCATTCCACAATTTTAAAGCTCAAACAGAATTTTTATGTAATTCATTAAAATAACTTTAACCTTCTGTTCAAAATTGTTAATTTCTTGAATAAATTACATGTTCATATAGGAGGTATACCTTACATTGTGAAATTACAAGGTTGAAAATTGGAACTTGAAAGTTAAGGGTTGTAAGTGTTAGCTTTGGAAGACTAACTCCAGACCTGTGTTTCACTTGAATATCTTTTTGTTTGAGTTTTAAACTTGTGCAATGGTTTGTCTGGTGATATGGTATGTGTTGTTTAAATTTGCTAAAACTTGCTAGATTTGTATACAGATGCAAAGGGTTACATTTAGTTCAATAGCTCTATTTGGTATTGTTTAGGGGGTTCTTTTTTCTAATGAACATCCATTTTATTATTTCATATGTTCATGTAACTTCAACAATATGTTAAGTAAGCCAAATTTTTTTCCATATTTTACCCAAAAAAAACAAACTATTTTTGAAGTGTTTGGTACTCGTAGAATGTGCAGGCAGCAAAGTGTTGTTAGCACATTTCTGTAGAATCTTAAAAACGTTTAGTGAAAATGTTACTGCATGTGTTATATTACTAATAAGTCCAGAAATACTTTGATATTTTCAAGTAACAAATACTTTTGATATGAAGGAAGTAATCATGGCATTTTATTTAAAACGTTTAGATTTAGGACATTCTATAATACATTTATGTCACATACAGTAGATGTGAATTTGTTCTAAACTTAAATTATAATGTTACTGAACTTAGCATATGCAGGTTTATAAAGCTAAAAAACTTTAAATCTTAAAAGCAATTTTTTATGTTTTGCCATGGTATATTACTGATTAGTCCTGGCACAGATTGTTTGTGTTAATTGTATTTAAGCTCTTTACTAATGGAATTATTTATTGTGCATGTACAAAACAAAAATTTTGGTGTCTAACATGGACTATCAAGTTCAGGATATTGGGTACATAGCAGACAAACTTTTCAACACAAACACTAGAGCATTGGCATCTTAAACCTTTACACCAAATGCTATACATCGAACCTAGAAAGCATCAAGTCCAAAAATTCAACAGAATGACCAAGATAGCTATCCTTATGACTACAAACATAGTTCATAATTACAATTCAAGATTACTAAGTGATACAGAAAACGAGATTCTTAACTTAGGTCTAAACTTCACCATCCAATCTAGCACAGTTCCAACTGTTGACATAGCTGCAACCTTAGAATCTGCTGCACAAAACCTCCCAAAACCTATGGCTGAACAATTCCGACATCAAACTTACACCATCCTCAGGAAGGCCAAGAAACCAAAGCCGAACATCACTAAACAGGAATACAGTTTACTGAACTGTTTAAGATTCTACCAGCAGACAAAGGAAACAGTATAGTCATCCTAGATTTCAACAATTATTACATGAAGATTAAGCAGTTACTAGACAAACACCAGTACAAAAAGATCACCAATGACCCTATAGAAAAGACAGAGAGACTCATGAATAGAACACTGAACAAACTTAAACACAATTTAATTAATGAGAAGTTAGCCAAAATTTAAGAACGAGCAAAAATTTTCCCCCTCAAATTTACAGACTACCTAAGGTACACAAACCTAATATACCTTTAAGGCCTATCGTCAGTGCTATAAACTCACCATGCCATCAACTAGCTATATTCTTGGTATCTATCTTGTCTCCACTACGAGGTAATACTGAACATGACATTCACAACTCGACAGATTTCAGATCCCAGGATATTCTGGTCAGTTTTGATGTGAAAGACCTATTTACCAATGTTCCATCCTCAGAATCACTTCATATCACCAGGCAACAACTGCTGAATGACAACTGTACCACACAGAACTGACATGGAGATAGACGCCATCATGGAACTAACGACTATTTGCCTTTGATAAACTTACTTCCAATACAATGAGGAATTCTACAAACAAACAAATGGTCTAGCTGTGGGATCAACACTCTCTCCAATCCTAGCAGACAATTTCATGGAAGACTTTGAAGAAAGAGTCCTCTCATCCACACATATATATAAAAAACAAGTTTCTACAGACATTATGTTCATGACGCCTTCGTTATCTGGCTCCATGGTCATGAAAACTTACCAGCCTTCCTAGAACATCTTAATTCTAAAGACAAAAGAATCCACTTCACTATGGAAGTAGAGGAACAAAACAGCCTACCATTTCTTGACATACTCATCAGCAGACAAGAGAGAAAAATCACCACAACTGTATACAGAAAACCCACCCACACGAACAGATACCTACACTTTCAGTCCTACATCCAAACTTGATAAAATGTGGAATAACCTAATGCCAAAACAAGAGAGCAGAAAACATTTGTATTAAGACATTCATTGAAACAGAATGTCAAAAGATTGTAGAATGCTTTAAACAGAATTGTTACATCTTCTTCTTTATCAAAAACTCCCTGAAGAAGACCACATCAGAAAGAAAAGATCAGAAAGACACTACCACTACTACCATTTACCTCCCCTACATGCAAAATGTTAGTGAAAAACTCAAACACATAGCCAAGAAATTCAACATAGACATCTTGTGGAAACCTACAAGACATTAATATCCATTCTGGTGAAAAACAAACAGAAATCTACCAATGAGAAATACAAAAATGCCCTTTATGAAATTCTGTGTTCCTTCAATGAAACATACATTGGAGACACAGAAAGAAGACTCACGACAAGAATAAAAGAATGTAAAGACAGTACAAGATGTATGAAAACACAAAATTCAGCCATTGCAGAACACACCATGTCAACTGGACACAAAATAAACTGAGAAAAAACTAATCATCTACACAGACAAATTTTGGAAGACAAGAAAAATTAAAGAATAATTTTACATTAACACAATAAAACCCTCACTCAACAGAGATTCAAATTAGAGGTGAGTAACCTGTGGCTGCCATTGGTTGAATCTACAAAAAATCTCACCACCAATCAGAAACATGGATAAACCAACCAATTATAACACACTTTCCACAATCCATCAGATAAAAACAGACAACATCATATGCACACCGACCTGAAGACGAAAGGCAGAAGTCTTTTGAAACATCATCCTCTACATATGTTTCTACAACAAGCAGTTGCCATCCATTCAACTTAGTTGCATCATGAATACTCTGCCTAAACAAAAATCAAAGAATTACAAAGGAAATACTTCTAAGTGGCTAGTTTTTGGAGACAGACTATGAGCAGAAGGTAGTATATTTGTTAGGGACACTTTACAAAAGTTTCAGAGAAAGTTAAAAGTAATTATAAAAAGTTCTGTCCTTAGACAATTTATTTAAAATGTTATACATTTTTAATCTTCAGTTTCTGTATAAGAAACATTTTTATAAAAATAAGATGATAGATGTTACATGAAATATTTCTTGAATGCCGTTAATTCAAAAAAAAATTAATATACAGTACAGTGAAAATTATTACTATTTTGTACAAAAGACCTTGTACAGTATTTGAAATTAATTTGCTTTTGTGTTTATGAAAAATCATAAAACTAAATCTAGGAATATTATACATACTGAAATTACAAAACTGACAGTCTGTTGTGTATTTTTAATTTTGTTTTTCAAGTGATGTATCAATATACAATATGCATTTATATAAATATTCAACTTTAAGTTTTACTGGCATTTATTCAAAACAATCAATTGAACAAACAACTGTGATTCAAAATGTCATTATCGTATTATGGTCATCATTTCAGAATTGGATGCCATCCATTATTAGCCCAGACGCTACAACTTTACAATGTCCATTATGTGGTCACTGCATGGCTTTGGTCATCCAGGTATATTGCCCTCTAGGAAGTTCTAAGTATCATAGGACACTTTACATATTTTGTTGTACTAATCCATTATGCTGGAGCAAACCTGAAAGGTAAGTGACTATTATTCAGTATTGCTTTCCAATTGGTGTAATGCAGTTTTTAAATTTTTATTTTATGCTAAATTATCCGATATAGTTACTTTTCAACTAGGAAAATGTCTATTAAAATATATGAAAGTTTGACTAATCTTATTCTCCATTTGTAAAATTAAAAGTCAGCAGAACCTTTTTTACTTGTTGAATGATTGGTTTGCCCAAGAATGGACGTAAAAAAAATGAAAACATATAGTATTGGATGTTTTGTAAAATTAACAGTTAAAAATCCTGAAGAGACTTATCAATGAAATATAAATAACAATCTACTATATGGACAACAAGGGACCATTTGGTCCTTAAAGGCTGATTTTGCACACCACCCCTTGAGAAATGTAAAGATCTGAACCCTCCTTTACTTTTCAGGAATTCATTGATTCTCCTCTTAAACTTCTTTAAAGTACTAGCCTCCACTATTACTGGCAGTAGCTCATTTCATAAGTCTTTTTCTAAAGCTTAAACTTTTGTATTTTTATCTTCAGAATATAGCACAAAAAACTAGAGTCGTTAACCTTATCAATCCCCTGTATAATATTGTAAATTTGAAAAAAGATCATTACTTACCCTTCTTTTCTTAAGAGAAAATAAATTGAGATATCTTGACATGTCTCTGGAATCATTCTACTAATTCTCCTTTGAACTCTTTCCAGTAAGTTAAAATTCTTTTTTAGGTATGGAAACCAAAACTATACACAGTATTCCAAGTAAGGCCTAACTAGTAATTTCTGTAAAAATAATTATTTCTTTTAACTTCTAATCAATATAGAGCTGGGCAATTAATGGAATTTGCTAATTGATTAATCATGAAGCTCATTTCTTGATCACAGTAAAGGTGATCTATTATTCTCCCAAGATCCCTTAAAAACCCTTTATGCTAAAAATTGGCTTTCAATATTTATGGTGGGCAGAATAGATAGCCCACTCTGTAGCTTTGTGTTTAACAACAAACAACATTATGGCAATATTTTGATTACTTGGATAGATTTTAGTCAAAAATACCAATGATCAGAAGCCCTAATTTCGATTAGATGATTATTTTCTTGAGTTGTGACACTAATTGATTCAACTGAAAAACTTGAATTAATCAAAAATAATAATGAAAAATCATAATGGGAAAATTTGGATTACTGGATAATTGGAATAATGGGAAACACTAATTTTGATTAGTTGATTATTTTCCTGACATTATTCTATTTAGTACTAGTTTTGCTGAATAGTTGGAATAATTCAAAACAGTAATAATCAGAAACACTATTTGAATATTTTCATGACATTAAGTGATTTAATCATAATGTTGATTAACCAGTGTTTTTGTGTGACACTATTCAGAATAATTGATGCTCATAGTTTGTCGATTATGGGATTGAGTTAATCAATATTTCTATAAGTAAACCCTAAAATTCTGTTAGCTTTACTACTAGCAAAATAGCATTGCTTTGATGACTTGAGTAACTTTATCTGACTTTATGCTAAGATCCTTCTCTTCAGCCATGTTATTGAGTAGGTTCCCATATTTATATTAAATGTGGGATTCAAGTTATGATAACTTAAATGTATCACTTTTATGTGTTATAGACAAAGCTTATTTGTCCAACTTACCAATAAATTCAAGACTGTAGTACCTCAGTATCCTTAATACAGCCAGAAATACCCAAGAATTTATTTTCATCAGTAAACTTTACTAGTTTACTAAATATTCCCTTATCGGTATCGTTTAATGTAAATAAGAAATAGTAAAGGCCCAAGCACTGACCCCTGAAGTACTTGACTAGTAACAAGGATACAGTTTGACTAGACTCCATTAACTAAGTCTTTCCAGATGAGTCACAGGTCAAAGGCCATATCATTGCGTTTGTTGACTCACATTCAATATTTTAAGGAACTGCTATTTCATGGATTTATGTCAATAAGTTTGGTATCAAACTATAGATTATAATTCAAATTTTACTATTATACATAATTTAAAAACAAATATATTAAAAAAATACAAACATCAATTTTTGTGTGTCATGTGGTATGTTGAATGCAGCATTGGTTCAAATTAGATGTTTATGATGGTAAAATGCCAAGTCTGTAGTTTTGTACGAATTAGTAACTCAAATTACCAATATTGACAAGCTAGAATATAAAATAAGAACCTCTTATCTTTTCTATTTAGTAAAATATTGCTCATGCAATGAATCAAACACAGTAGCACCCCACCCACCTCTTTCCAATTTTGGAAATGTTCCCTTATACATACTTACTTCTATGTATGACATGAATAACCAATCAAAAGCTCAGAATGTCTCCCTAGTGGGTTTCTTAGCCATTTTAAAGTCTTAGGATGCCATCTCTTTCTTTCAAACCAAGATCTTAAGGAGGTAGGTCTTTAGTCTGCTCAAAAGTTCATATTTTTTTAGACTGAAATACAGCTTAGTTACTAAGCTTGATAAATTACAATGGAATTCTGAGGTATTGACATAGTAATTTATGCTTCTTTTGGTTACTC